ATGCACACCATGCGTGCCTTGGATGCGTTAGTACCGGATCTATGAATTGAAATCAAGAAAAATAAAATATCTCACGCCTGGCTCGAACCCAGGACAAGGCGCATGTAAGACTTATGTGCAAGTGTGTTGCCACTGGGGTGGCATGTTCATTCGGTGTATATAATCAAACAATAACATTATAATATGAAATGCAAGATAATTCCAAATAAGCAAACACACACGCACTCAAGTGGGCCACTATTATTTGAACAAACCAATTAGAACGCTGCTACATGCCACGCATGCCCTTGCCGGAGTCAGCAAAGCTCAGGGACGTCAGAGTCAACCTCCGGTCTTCTTCTCCGGTCATACAAAATTCAAACCTGCAAAAAACGCAACGATTAAAACGTACAAAGCACTATACTCCCCTTAAAATTCCCCCCTGAATCAGAATTTGGAATTATTTTTAACTAAAAAAATCCTTAATCATGCGCTTCGATTCAAAACCACAAATCAGAGAAAAAATGGCATCTAACCATTATGCGTGCATGGGAATGTATTAATGGTCAGAACCTGTTCAATCATATCTCTAGATCACGTTAGAGGTATCAAATCATTATAAAACACAATAAAATTGCAGATATAAATTTCAATAAAAATATGGAAATGACAAGGCCATGATGTATGATTTCATGAGTGCAAGATCATCATAAATGATCCAGGTCTACCTTTAGATATTCCAGGAAGGGAATGAGACTTGAATTGTAGGGTGAAAGGAACTGAGGAGAGTGTGAGGAGGCTCGAGGGTTTTTAGAATTTTGGAGGATTTTTGCTAGCTTTTATGTGCAGTGTAATCGTGTCCATTTGCTTCTGATTTGCTTGCATTATATAGAGAGAGTAAGGGAGCCAACAAGTATGGAAAGAAACAATGTATTCATGCCCATGAAAACAAAATTCCAACATATTGAATCCTTTCCTTTCTTGCATGATTCTTGTCTCCTTGGACCTCTTGCATGAATTTGGCAAGCTTTACAGCCTGTAATGAGCTACATTGGGCCTTCATATGTTTGAAATTACAAGCCCAAGTCTTTACACATTTAACTCATATTTTATTTTGATTTTATTTGCTTTAAAATGAAAAAAATTCAAATAAAAGAAATAAAATCATTAAAAATATTTGAATGGGTTTAGAGGTCCCATATCATCTTATGAACATCAAAATTTAGGCCCACTAGTTCAAAATCTCAAATTTACTCATTTTGTATTTCATGAATTTCCTCAAAATTTCCCAACTTGTGCAACTCCTAACTTGCTCAATTTTCATCTTTTGAATATGATCTTGGACTTTTTGAAAATCTCAATATGTCTTATACACTTTATCTTTTGATCATTTTTGCATTTTGGGACATTATCTTGATGTAAGTTGCCTTGACAAAAAGTGTCTTTTGTTGACTTTTGAAAATGACCTATAATTTATTAGCTCATATCTTTCAAATGAAGCAATTTTTGGATTTGAGAATAAAAACAAAGTTGTAGAGAATTGAATTTTCTTCAAAATGGGCTTTGGTTGGGGAAAATTTGATGAAGCATGTGAAAGTTATGCTTGGTCAAAGTTCAGTTGACTTCTCCTAAGGAAACCCTAATTTGACAATTCTTGACTTTTGATCATTTGAGGGCTTTCCTTGAGGAATCATGATCAACCCTTGATCAAATGATGAATATCACTTAAAAAATGTCGATATTGATAAAAAAATCTTGAAATTTGACTGTATGTTGATCATAGTTGACTTTTTACCCAACATAGTTGATTTTCGATCATCTAAGCCATTGACTTAGCAAACTTGTGATGTAGGACTTGAAACTTAACATGAACATTGTTGAAGACCTATGGAGAACCATGGAAACCACTTGAGACCTTTGCAACCCAAATTTCCTTGAGAAACTCAAAACCCTAGTTGTAGACTCCTTGCTTAGGAGGAGCATTTGACTGGTCATCTCTTGAGATTCTTGAGTATTTGAGAACCTTTGAAAGCTTGTCTTGAGAAAAATGGGAGGACAAATTTTGGGGTACAACAACCAAGTAAAAGTATTTTTGGTCAATGAATTAGGAAAATATATTATTTTTAAACCCTCATCATTGGCGATATCGCCAGCTTCTGTTTCGTACCTAGCAACGTGTTCAATGGTCGACTCATTAGCATCACCAGCAAATTTGGTAAATTTAGGTACCTTACATCCCCTAGGTAATTCTGCCTGTCGAATATGATCAAGTAAGAGAGACGAATAATTAGGCCTCCGAAGGCTAATATTTACCCTAGATCATGTTAATACTTCTTCTACTACATTCACTATGTTGTTACGTCCAACAGTGGCATTTCTTGACACTCGATCAACATCTTGGTTCCTCCTAACTACGAATGGCCTAGGTTCGTATTGTTCAACGAATTATTCCTCTTCATAAGTGGGTATTTCCACTCTTTGAGGTCTAAAAGGATGCTCATTGTTTCCTCCCTCTAATTCTTCAAAAACTCTTAACGGCATGTGACACGTCTAAGTTGGTTGAACCCCTAATGAGTCGATCAATCTACCTATTTGGTCAACTACATGACTGAGGGTAACTCCCATTTACCGAGTTAAGACATTTACTAACTGTAAATTACTCTCATCCATATGTTGCCTTAAAGCCATAATAGAAGTAGTATTCAAAGATGACGTCGACTGAGGGATGTAACCAACACCACCTGGGCCATAACTGCCTTGGTTTCCAGTGGCAACTGCATTTTCTGTATACGTGGATGGATTCGACGGTAACCCAACCATCATGGAATAAAGCATACCGTATTGATAAGGGACAAATAATGTCCCTGGGCCCTCTAGAAAGAGTGGTCGATTTGGGTCAAATGGTGATACCCTATGCCTAGGTTCTATCGTCGTGACTTTTTTTCACTGAACCATAATCAGCGGTCGACCTTACAGGAGATAAAACCACCACGTTTTGAGTTGTGGCACTCACTCGTATGACATATATATTTTGTGTAGAAATTTGTGTAAGTGCAATGTTCGTGTCAGAGTGTGACATTTTAGACTTTGACAAATATTTACCACTTAAATTCATACACACACAAACAAAACTACAAGAAAATTTGTAAAACCAAACACAAATACGAAATTATTAGCACTGTCCCACCAGGTGTGCCAATTTGTTTACCTCTGATTTCGGTAAACAATGTTGTTCTCTTAACAAAAAATTTACTGACGAGATCGATCAGGGAATCTCAGTACATTGCTTCAGTTTTTGAGTGTTTTCACAAAGTATGTTTATAAGAAATAAAGCAAGGCTTGTAAAATAAAATAAAAGGCATTTTTAACTGTAAACATAAATGACATAACATCAAAATAGTTGAAAATAAGTTGATTCAAACGTACATTGCCCTAGCTTGACTCATTTCGCTCGTTCGTTTGGGTACTCTCAGTGACTCGTATAAGAATGTGAAAGTTTGGACCTCTAACACTATACACTAAGTGCTTTATTTATAATACACCAAAATAACTACTTTCTAGCAGACTTCGCTTCTTCGTACGCCATGTGTATCCTGTAACCCCTCTCCATGATCCCACGTTCTCCATTCTTACTCTCGAACCCACGTTCTCCAAGTTTCCCTCCAAAACGCTTCGCTCGCTTGATGGATCTTTTGGGCCTTTGGACGTTTCTAGGCCCAATGACTTATGAAGTCCTCCCTGGTCGACTGCTCCTGTTTTCAGGTCCAATCGCTTACTTATGGAATCTCTCCAGGTCGACTACATCAATAGTCAAATACTTTGTAGAATCTCTCTAAGTCTTAGGTCGGCTACATCAGTAATCATGTCACATAAATCATCTTTTCTAATAAAACCCTTTTGATCCTTTTCTTTTGGTTGAATTTTGGTCATTATCGAAAATCTCAGCCAACACCTATGTTATGTTTTGTTTGTTGTTGTTGGTGTAATATTTTGACCGTACTTACTTCCCAAACAATTTATGTACAAAATTATGTCTGAACATCTAATTTAATCGTTATATCGGTATTGTTATGCTCGTTTTATATTTTCGAAAAAATCGTAAAAATTTGTCCGATTATAAAATAGTGGAATGATGTAGTTTTAAACAAAAATGACACAAACAGAAGAAGATTCGCATATACAAATCTGAAACCTTTTTCTCAGCAAGTTTCGCATGTGCACATGCAAAATAACCTCTAAACATGCTAAAAATAATTTATTCACATATGCATGTACACTTGCGAAAAATATTTTCAAGTTTTCAATAGTAAAAATCACCAATATTAAAAGAGAAATCTCCTTATAGAAATGACACATATGTAAGTTTTCCGGAGGCAGGGAACGAAATGAAAGGTAAGTTACCTTCTTCATTTGGAATGTAACTATTGTAATATATAAAACTAAAAATAATTATATAGGTGGGGCAAGCTGTTACTTTGGCGTGTTTGTAACTACCAATCTCTTTCAGTTCAAGCAAGAAGGTTTGTTGGCTAAATAATTAAACCTTAGATTTAGATTTAAAAATTTATACTAAAAAAACTAACTATTCGATTATTATGTCTCTTTAAGGAGAATAAAAAGGGACGAAAATGAATCGTATTCATATGCCATCACGTGACGTTGCCGCTGAAGTCACGTGACTTTTATAGTTACACCTCATCCAAATATATAACATGAATCTCATTAAATTATTAGTATTTTTAGACTATTCCTCTCTCTCTCTATCTCTCTCTATCAAAAATTTTCTTGAATCAAACACTGGATCATCTGCAGTTTTTGTAAGCAAATGAGTGTAGTACAATTTTGTTTAATTTAAATGTTTTTTTAGGTTTTTGATTTATGATTTATTTTTAACTTTCAAATCTATTTATTTTCTTTTTGATTATTTGAAGGCATAAAATTGTGTGGAGTTTCAGAAGAAAGTGAACAGTGAGAGTTTTGAAATCAAGAGAGGAATTGGAATTGTGGAACGACGACGTATGATGGGAACAATGGAGAGATTACTTTGGGCTCTGGAAAATGAGAATCTAGGAGGAGAATCAATGTTAGGGTCAATAAAAATAGCGGTTTTGCCGATAGTTAAAGTTTTCACTATGTGTTTTTTAGGTCTTCTTATGGCTTCTAAGTATGTTAATATCTTGACTGCTTCTGGAAGAAGGCTTTTGAATGGGGTATGTGTATATGTATATCTATATGTGTATCTATCTATTCATGTCTGTGTGTTTATAACTCAATTTATGAAATTCACTTTTTGATTTTTGCAGCTGGTTTTTTCATTGTTGTTACCTTGTTTGATATTCTCTCAGCTAGGACAAGCTGTTACTTTGCAGAAGATGCTTGACTGGTATGTTATAGTACTAAACTTATTCCCAATTAGATTTCCCTTTTTCCATAATTATAATAAGAGAAAAATAGGTGGTACTGCGTCGGTGTAAAATATTTTTACACTGTCAATCAATAACCGACGGATATTTTAAAATTACTTACATGACATGACTAATTGGTGGTTATACTGTAAAATTAAGGTCAAATGCTGTGATCCTTGATATTGTGGAGAGTTGCGGTTAAATAGAACTAATGAGGCACAATTGAGGCTGCATTGCTATTGCATAGACATGAAAAAAACCTTAATGCTGCAGGAAACAGCATAATCATGTTTGCCGAACTTGTTAGAAAATTGTATTCAGACAATATGTAGGCAGAAATTGATTGATATTTCATTATTTTGCAGGTGGTTTATTCCCATGAATGTTGTTTTGAGTTCAATAGCAGGCTCAACCATTGGTTTTATTGTTGCCTCAATTGTTCGTCCTCCATACCCTTTCTTCAAGTTCACAATTATCCATATTGGAATCGGTAATGCAATCAAACTTGATTTTCTTTTATTTGATACTTGGACTTTGTTACCTTTATATGAAGAGAAGGAATTGATGAATGTAACATGATATGAGATTGACTTAACTCAATTGAAATCGGTGTTCCGTCATGTGTTGTTTTACCTTGAATCATGTTATTGCAAATTTGTTTACAGGGAATATTGGAAATGTGCCTCTTGTCCTGATTGGTGCTTTATGCCGTGACCCAAATAACCCTTTCGGAGACTCACTTAAATGTAGCACAGATGGAACTGCCTATATATCGTTCGGCCAATGGGTAAGTTCTAGATATCTTGTAGACCGGTACATCTTGATTTAGTTAATTATCTCATGTTCCCTGACTTATAATTTGTTGACTATTCAAGCAATTTTTAGTTTATGACTTCTTTATTTCAGGGTCTTTGTTATAATTTAGACTAATTTGTATATTTATATTGCTTTAGAAATTGTTCTACCATTGAAACAAAAGCGTAGTACTAATTGGGAGCTTTTAATTCTCACTTGTCTTAGGTTGGTGCTATCATCCTGTACACTTACGTATTCAACATGTTGGCTCCTCCTCCAGAGGGGACTTTTGACATTGATCATGAAAGGCTTCCCCTAAAGAGCAGTACTGCAAAGAGTGACAGTCCACCGGAACAAGCACCATTGATTGCTCAGGAGGAGGAAGAGGAGGACCATTTAGCAAGTTCAAGCAATTCAGGGAAGTCGAAGGTGAGATTTACAGTTTATTCAACATCATGTTAGTTTCATTTATTTTCCCAAATTTCATTGGATAGATATTTAAATTTCCTTTTCATGTCCTTCGAGTCCAACTTCCAAAATATCTAGCGAGGGGCTGGTTTGATTATCTCATTTGTATCTCATGCTTCCTACATGTTTGTTGATGCAGATTAAACATATATTAGCACTCATATACGACAAGTTGAAGCTTAAGCAAATTCTTCAACCCCCTATCATTGCATCAGTGAGTTTCTCCTTTTTGAATCTATATATAAATGTGTTTAAGTGGAAATAATATTTGTGAACTAGTTTAGTTTACTGGTATTTTACTAAATAAAACCGCTTTCATGATAATTTATAGATTAATAGAGTTGGTTTTGATCAAGTGTTTACACATGTTTTGCAGATTCTAGCCATGACACTTGGTGCAGTCCCATTTCTAAAGAAACTGATCTTTACGCCCGATGCTCCACTATTTTTCTTCACTGACAGTTGCATGATTCTTGGGTATGCCTATTAAAAATTTCTTTCCGTTCTTCTAGTGGTTTAGAAAAAAAAATCTTATCCTCCTCTCTTTCAATTTTTTTTTCATAAAACAAATATTTCAAGGAAAACACTCAATTTTGATTATAAACTGATAAACTTCACAAGTATGTATTATGGAACTGAGCCATAGTATCTTAGATCTATAATAGTGATAACAAATTATTTTTTATCGTCCGAAGTCATTGTGGAAAACTTCTGAAGTTGTTATAGGTGATAATTTCTAAATGTTTTTTTGGTGATCAGGGAGGCCATGATTCCTTGCATTCTGCTGGCGTTAGGAGGCAACCTTATTGACGGTAAGTTCTTTTCAAAGTGTTCTCATTATGAAACAATGTTTCAAATTCTTTTGACTGAAACATTTAAATGAATCATCGTTGGTTTTTGGTCTTGGTTGCAGGACCTGGAAGTTCAAAACTTGGTTTCCGAACAACTGCTGCTATTGTTTTTGCGCGTTTAGTTTTAGTGCCTCCTGTTGGACTTGGCATCGTTATGTTGGCTGACAAGCTCGGCTTTCTTCCACCCAATGATAAGATGTTTCGATTTGTCCTACTACTTCAGCATTCAATGCCAACATCTGTACTTTCAGGTATATAGTACAAACATCCTAGTCTTAGTTCTCACTGGTGGTGAATTCACTTCTGAACAGAGCCTTTAGTGTCAAGTTACTCTTAGGAATTTCTTGTTATTATTACATAACTCATATATATAACAAATATTGTTAAGGTCGGTTTTAACATATATTGTTTTACTTGTTCACAGGTGCTGTTGCTAATTTAAGAGGGTGTGGAAGAGAGGCAGCTGCTGTTTTATTCTGGGTCCATATCTTTGCTGTAATATCAATGGCTGGATGGATTGTTCTATACCTTAGCATACTCTTCTGAGACTGCATATAGATAGATATCATGTTTATTATGCAATAATATTGTAGTTTAATACCATAGATTTTGTTCATTTGAAATTTAGATTAGTGGAGAAACTCTTATATTTGTTATAGTGTGACTTTATCTGTTGATCTTGAATTCTGCCGTCTACTGATTGATGTATTCACTAGAGGACCTGTCAAGAGGAGCTGGAAAAATTTATCAAGAAACCCAAGTTCTAGATTGGTTAGAAATACTATCTAAATAGGTCGTGTAAAGTTTAAACAATTACAATCTTAAACTTTGTAAGATTGAGTTTGATCCAAAAACCGAATATGTTGGGGTCTATATTAGATCTGTTAGTTTGTTACTAGCTATCCTATATTATGGTTAGTGATATGACATAAGGCAATTTCTCTTTACACTTTTACTACTTCTCCCATGCCTTTCCCGAATTTTCCAGAATGTTCTATGTTTTTGGAGATGCATCTTCAGACGTATTAAAAATCATTTTTATCACAAAAAAGTTTGGAAAGACATCTCTGAATTCTTAAAGGGTGAGTTCGGTAATGCATTTTTGAACTATATATGCTTCCAGAATCAATGCAACATAAATGGAAATATGACAACAAAATAAAAACAAATCAACACTAAAATCAACATTTCATTAGATAAAAACATTAATTACATAGATAATCACGAAAATAAATTCAACATTACATAATTATTTCAACGAAACGTTGCAACATAATGATTATATCCTTGACGGATCTTTGAATGTTTGTATCCACTTCAATCGGACCCTTTGATTCATAATGGAGAAAAATGTTCTACATAACCTTTAGATCATCACTCGTCTTCAGTTCAAGGTTGGTGAAATGGACATTCCCTTCGATATCAAACGACGGTGATCGATACTCAAGTTTGACAATTCTGTGATTTTCTGGAAATCGCAGCAAAATATTCAGTTTGGATATCAGATCCACTAGGGAAGTTTTCTCGGTGACCCTAAACAGAAGCAGTGGTTTCTCACCATTAAAATACACAATGCAAGATGGATATATGAACTCATTCTCTCTGGTTTTAGTGTGTTGGTGCACCAAAGTAGGGTTTAGCCACACCCTATTTATACAAGTATTGAGTCACTTTGAACCTAAAAAATCTTATCTTGTGTCAAGTAAAGTTTTGGAAGTGCATAATCGCAAAAAATAGTTCAAAGTCACATTTCCGAAAATACCACACGTTAGGTGACTCCGGAGTCACATTTCTGAAATCTTCACTGATTAGTAAAAAACCAAAAACTTTGTAAACAAGCACATGTAATGTAAATCAAAATCATACCATAAAATTAATATGTATTATATCGTATCAAAATTAATACATACAAAAAAGCAGATTAATTACATTATAAAATACATCAAAAGATTCGGTACCACAAATCTACAGCTGGTTCCGTCTTCGACGCTTCCTTGTTTGCGTACGATGAGATGACCAGTTAGGTTTGTATGCAATTCATGGTTATGTATTCCAGAGAGAATATTAAATTTCCACATCTCATTGATGCTACAATATCTACGCAGTTTAAATGGACAATCACACTTTCTCGCATAGGGAACATACACGCCACTTCTCTCGCATATCGTGGTTACAAATGATTGTCTTCTATTTGAACCATTGTTAGACCTTCCAATTATAATGTCAAACCCAAAATTTATGGCTACCATTCAAACTCATTGAATCACATGTTCATGAGTAGTATACAATTGTTTATTTATGAAACATTGAGCAACGTCTATCTCTACCGCTTTAACATCAATTGGTTTAACGCCCTCCTCCGATACACCCTCTATTACATCGTTAAGTAAAGCTATTTTCGATAACATATCCGGGTGAACCATATCTAATAAGAAGCAAAATAACAATATTTTAAAAACCAGTAACAAATGAGTTCGAAAATGTGACATTCTGGTATATCAGACTTCAGATGTCCTATGACATATTGAGACATCTGAATCAGATCTAAACAAACATGACAAGGTATAAACATACAAAAACAGTACTGAAAAGCATAAACAACACACAAGAAATGTTAACCCAGTTCAGAGCAACTCTCCTACTCTGGGGGCATACCTAGCCAGGGATAAAGTCCACTATAGTAGTATCAATTCGCAGCTAAACTCCCCCGTTTACAACTTCTCACTTAATCACTACATGTGATAACTTACTATCTAAGACTCACCTAGATATGAGACCCTCCTTAACTCCCTCATCAATCACAGACAACAATTGAATCAAAATAGGAAGACACACTTCCATGACGACAAACTAGAAGATACACTTCCATGACAATACCTAGCCAAGACTCTTGACTAAGAACACAACTTAAAGTTGCTTACACTACAACAAATAATATATTTCATGACGGAATATTTCACCCCACCTAATAAAAATCTGAAGTGTAAATAATAGACGCGCCACTTTTTAGTTTTTTTATAAAAAATAATATATATTCCCCCGATTTTACTGGAAATCGAGAGGAAATGTATTTAGAGGACGCGTCTTCGAATCCCAACAACTACACTTTATCACTTTTTAATTTTTTAAAATTTGTAACTAGACTTTACCCCTAAATTTTTATTAAAAATCAAAGTAAAAAGTAGAGCAGTTCTGAAAATAAAAAAATTCAATTGCTGAGGATTGAACTTGTGACCAATATTACCTTGTCATTTTTTTTAATTTTTTTTAATTACATATTACCTTGGTTTTGCTAAAACCGAGGGATAAAGTAGCGTATTTTATATATTTTTTTAATTTTTTAATTTATCACCAATTTGATGAAAAAATTAAGTAACAAATCTTTCTCGTCCATTTATAAAGTAACAATAGTCAAGACACTGTCAACTCATCAATCCACATGAAACATTAATGATCCGCGTGAAATTCTCACTAGCCAATCAAAATGTGAATGCCACAATTATTCATCTTAGATGCAAAGTGCTGAAGTTTAAAGTTAACATATTGAAAGCAATGATAATGAAAGTAAAAGCAGGAAAATATTTCAAGGTTAGTTTCTTAATGTAATATTTTATCTAGTAATTCTTTGTTAAAATTGTTTAATGTTTGTTGTAGTTGTATCTATTAGAGATAAAAAGATGGTTTTGTTTTTAGCTCACTGTGATGTCACTCTTTGATTGAAAAGTCTTAAACTTATCTTTAACAGTATCAAGTAAAATATTTAATATTGTTGTTGTTGTTGTAGAAATTTAGCGTTTAACGATTATATTGATTTTGTTTATTTGTCGTTGTTGTTGAGATTTAATGTTTAAAGATTTCATGGATTTTATTGTTATTGTTGTTGTGTTACTTTTGTTGTTGAGATTTAATGTTGAAGTATTCTAATGATTTTGTTTACTTGTTGTTGTTGTTGTTGTTGATATGTAATATTTAAAGATTCCATAAATTTTGTTGTTGTTGTTGTTAAGATGCAATATTTAAAGATTCCATAAATTTTATTGTTGTTGTTGTTGTTGTTTGTTGTGAGATTTAATGTTTAAGAATTCTATTGATTTTGTTTTTGTTGTTGTTATATGTGTTGTTGTTGATGATGATGAGGAAGGTATAGATTTTGTCAAAATAAAATAAGTGCTTTGCAGATTAAAACATAAAAAAATAGGTTAAAATTAAAATTTTGTAAACATGACTTTACCCCTCGATTATTGTTGAAAACTAAGGTAAAAAGTAGCGCCGTTTTGAAAATCCAAAAAATGTAGTTGGTAGGGATCGAACCCGTGACCAATTCCACTTTTCTCCCTCAGTTTTTAAATCACCAAGGTGACAAGTGGAAACTTTTCATATCTCTTTTAGTAATCTCTCCTGGGTTGCCGAGGTAAAACGCAATTTACGACCGACGTTACAAGTGTTATTTGTGGTAGTGTTACAAGTTTCCTCCAAGAATAATACTCACTCTTGCTTCACAGCTTCGAGGAGAACAATAATAGAGACATTACAACTCTATAACACAGTCCAACTCACAACCCGAATGGAACACACAACCAACTCTCCCAGAGAATGGTACAGACTCAACTCTAATAACTACATCGTTATATTCATGGCTGGTACCTTCTTTACGTTACAAATGTTTCTATTTATAACCTTTTTCCCAACTGGATTTGGGCTTCAAATCACAGCATATCAGCTGCTACAAATCATCATAACCTTCTGCTACAAAATAAGTCTTCAAGCAAATATTTCCTAATTTATCTCCATAATTAAAAAGTCAATATTCTTCAATATTCTTCTTGAATATTCCAGACCTATAAAACAATGCCACATAGAATAGCATAATATTCCCAGAATATTCTGCATCTGTTAAATCTTGAATTGATCCAACTGTTCAGCCCAACACAGACGCAATGTCAGATGATCCTGCATAGGACATCTGATCCGACATGTTGCTCCAGATGATGAGAACTTCTAATCTCAACATGTCTCAACATAAAATAGGACTTTTTGCTCAACCTGTTCTACTTAGCAAGATAATACATCCTATTTAACATATTGCTGATATATTTGTTTTACTAAAATTAATGTTAATCTTACAAATAGAGAACTAATAAAATGCATTTCTGGAAAAATGTAGGTGGGTGAGTTCGGAAATGTATTTTCGGACTAAGAGAATTTTTTTCAGCTCAAGCAAACGATTAATGCAAGCAATGAGGAATGAAATGAGGGAACTTTACCTGAAATTGTAGTTTATGATGCTTCTTTTGATGTGTTAAAATGCACAAAAATCGGTTTTATTTTTCAAGAATTTTTTGGTTATTAAGGGGTTGAAAGAGTTTGAAAGAGCGGGGAAGATGATCATAGAAGGTAGTCATATACTCAAATTGCCGCTAGACATTTTCAGAACTGCATTTTCGAAAACATCACTGGGAGATAAAAAAATTCTCATATATTTAAGGTGACTTCTAAGATGCAACTCTGAATTTCCCATTGAGATATATTCGGAGATGCATCTCTGA